CGCCATGCCGAACTTCTGCAAGATCTTTTCCAGGCTGGTTTCTTGAGACAGCATCATTCTACCATTTTGTTGATCCTACCGTATCTTCCTCCCAAAAAAGTGAATCAACTCTCCACAATCGGTCATTTTTCAAACATCGCCGACAGTTCGCGTTTCAGCTTCATTATGGTGGTCAGCTGCATACCTGCTATCAGGAGATCATCGACATACAGCACGATGAAAACAACGTCTTTCCCCCTCTTGTCGATACGGGTGTATAGACAATAGTCGTGCTTGGAACGTGTGAAACCTAGCTTCAGCAGCGCTTGATTGAATTTTTCGTTCCAACAAAGAGGAGACTGCTTCAGACCATACAACGATTTCTGTAGCTGGCACACTGGCCCAGGGTCTGCCTTGACGCCATCCGGAACAGACATGAAGATTCTCTCTTGTAGCTCACCATGAAGGAACGCCGTCTTGACGTCCATCTGATGGAACTGGAATCCCCTTTGTACGCTTACGGCCAGCACAATTCGAATCGTCGTCAACTTCGCAACCGGCGCATATGTTTCATTGTAGTCCAGATCAGCCTTCTGCAAGAAACCTTTGACTACCAGTCTTGCCTTGCATCGTTTCCTTCTTCATCCTCTTTCACGCGAAAGACCCACTTCGACTGCAAGGGCTTGACACCGGCAGGGCATTCCACCGTCGTCCACACCTTATTCTCCTCAAGAGATTTTAACTCGTCTCTAACTGCGGTCATCCAGAGCTGTCGATCTTCTCGATCTTCGATTCCGGGGGATCTGGGAGAGTTGAGTTTTTACCAGCAGATGTTGCTCTAAACCCAGTAAAGAAGTCAAGTAACTTACCTGGGAGCCTGCGCTCCCGTTCACTGCGCCTAGTGTCAGACTCTGATTAGTCCACCTCTATGTTGAAGGGAGCGCCCCAGGGTTTTCGGATGGAGCTTCTTCGGTTGGTTCTTCATCCAGATCAACGGTGCTTTGCGTATCCGGATCGACTTAATCTTCGGTTTCGCTTTCGATAACAGCTACTGCTTCTTGTTCGGCCGACGAATTGTCCCCCCCTGGCGGATACAGCATGGGAATCACTAAGGGAACCTTCGAGCCTTCATCTTCTTCATTTGCGTATGGTAAAGAAGCTTCATCGAACTTGATGTCACGAGAGATGAATACTTTTCTTGCTTTTCTGTCCCATAAGCGGTAGCCATTTGGAGCATAGCCAATCATGACCGCCTCCCGACTCTTGTTGTCCAACTTCTTCTTCAGCTGGTTTGGAACCCACGAAAACGCTTTACATCCAAAGATACGCAGCTTGGAGGGATCAGGCTTCGCACCTGTCCAGTGCTCAGCAGGTGTACGATTATCCGACAGAGCAGCAGTAGGACACCGGTTTAACAACGTTCCAGTAAGTGCTGCCTCCGACCACATGAACTTTGGCATATTTGAGTCGATAAGCATGGTTCTCACCTTTTCTACTAGGGTTCGGTTGAACCGTTCAGCCACGCCATTTTGTTCAGGTGAGTATGCAATTTGAATTCCCTTTCGTTTGTTGTACGCTTTCTGTTTTCCGGAGCAATATGTACTCACGTCCCTGGTCGACAGTTAGCTTGCAAATTCGTTTTTCAAACTGGGTGGTTACCATGGCTTCATACTCTTGAAAATGTACGAAAACTTCGGACTTTCTCTTCATCAGGTAGATGCACGTAACATGGCTGTAGTCATCTATAAAGGAGACGAATATCTCGATCCATCTCAAGCCGGCGGATCGATTGGTTCGCACACATCCGAATGTATCCGCTCTAGCAATCGACTGGCTCGCTCACGAGTTCCGTTGAAGGGTTCTCTGCACTGCTTTCCAAGCACACATGTGTCACAGAATCCAATTGAATCAACTTTTGGACCAAGACCTTCCACCATATTGTGTCGAAATAACGTATTCATCGTGGTCTGACTGGCGTGACCGAAACGACGATGCCAGAGATTGCTGACCTCCGCTGCGCAGAGATTTGCTGTAGGTCCTACCAAGTCCAGATCTAACTCCAACTCGTAGAGATCTCGTCGCAACTGTGCCACACCGATCGCCGCATCACCTTGCTTGAACAACACGTCAATCCCGGCTTGGGACATCTTCTTGACAGAAAGCAGGTTGCCTCGCAGCTCTGGTACGAAAATTACATTTTTCATCTGAAACAGAATACCTTCTTTGGAAATCCCCTTGACTCCGCCTTCATATTTCCCAACACCATCTTTGGCCACATCAATAACGAAAGGTTGTTTGAGCTTCCGGACCGACTGCATGCAATCTAAACTGTCAACCAGATGGTCGCTACATCCGGAGTCCACGTAGAAGATGGTTCGCTTGTTCTGCACCTTCGGTTGCTTCTGGTTCACCATGAACGAAACTGCTTTGCTTCCAACCGCTGCGTTGACGTTACCATCGCTCTTCTTGACAGGACAATCTTTCATCATGTGGTCAGTTTTGCCACATCGATGACACTTTCCGTTGAACTTTCGTTGCTTCTTATTTCTGTGTCCAACAAACGCTGCTGCCTTGTCTTCGCTCGAATCTTTCAGCCTATCACACCGCTTGGATTCTTCAGCCAGTAACCGCTGTTTCACAGCCTACAAAGTGAGGTCGTTCTCATTGATATTCTCTAGAGCCGTTACAAGGGAGTCGTAGCTATCGGGAAGGGTGAGAAATAATTGCGATACCATGTCGTTCTCTTCGAGCTTCGCGCCTGCCGATGTGAGTTGGCGTATGATATCGTCGAACTGTTGAAAATGATGCCGCATCGAAGTTCCTTATTTCATACGGAGCCTGGCCTACTGCTTCCGCAACAGGGTCTGACTTGCTACAAACTTCTTCGCATATGTGTCTTCCAGTGCCTTCCACATTTCTCGAGCAGTCTCCTTGTCCCGTACTATGCCTAGACATTCATCAGAAAGGAATCCAACTAGCAAGAACTTCGCTTTCCGATCTGTCTGCAAACACTTCACCCTTCCCTGGTCCGATTCACCTTGGAACTGGCTTGGTTAATACGTCCGAAACTTCTGCCGCACAGTTGAAACCGCCAATTCTCGAAGTTCGTTCCAGTCAACTGCGGAATTCCGGAGCTTTCCTTCGTAGACAAGCCCATAACCTGAAGGAACTACGTGGACAGGACGGGGCAATAATGAACAGGCCGAGACTTAACGAACAAAATAATGTTTTATTAAAGCAAACTTGAATTGCTCATTGCCAGGTCATCGATGTGGTATTCATAAATTATCGGGTATTTGTTCGAGCGGCACCAGTGAACGAACATGTTAAGCAACCTTTGCAGGAGAAAGGCAGTTCTCGATGCAGCGTACCACCAAATAGATTTTTAGATCATCAGCATATACGAGCTTGCACTTGTTGCCAATGGTAGATGCAGCGTCATTGAAAAATAACACACAAAAAGTAACGTTAAAAGTTATATGTTAAAACTTTAACTTATGGGCAGTCCCTGTCACTTCAGGAAGTTCAGATCTGTTAAGGTTAGTTTCAATAAATTCAAGACAGCACCATTAGCTTCAGAACAACTTAAGTTGTTCCGAGAACATAAAGGAGGTCCAACTCCTGAAATGTTAAGAAATCTTAAGACGTATTTTAGAACAGTAGTCCAGTTCCATTTATTTCAGGACAGTACCAAAACCTTCAGGAGAATTTCTAGAATTTCAAAGAATATACTTCAAAGAAATTTCAGGAACTTTACAGAAGTTCCGAAAAATTCAGGGAATTTCCAAAAACTTCAGCAAAGTTCCGAAATCTTCAGGGAAGTGCTGGGAACTCCAGAGAAGCTTAAAGATTTTTGGGCAGTTTAATCACTTTCAGGGATGTACCGAGTATTTCTAGGTAGATCAGAGAACATCAGCCTTCATGTTTTAGCCTAACGTTTAATTCGCGTATGAATCATATGTAGATTAGAAGGTTTCTGACACAATGATCATGCAGTCGACGCGGGATCCTCTTTATACGCATTGATAGCTGATTTCCAAATCCGGCTCATTGTCAGCGATGCATGCAGCATGCGTGACCAACATTTCCATTGGGATGGGTTTGAGGCAAGCACGTGCCGGACAAAATTCGCCCCTTATCACTCGAATAAGTCCGGAAGAATTGTAATCAATGTTATTGTTTTTTTAAACGATTCTTATACCACGTTCAGACTAAAGTCGTTATATGTATAGTCTTCTTCTTAATTCCTTTATTTAACGTCGGTCTCTGTTCCGCAACCTAGTGACAATCATCGACGGACATTGATTGTCATCCATTGACGACAATCGAATGTGCAGGAGTGCAGGGAGGCGGTATCCTAACCTGCGTAGGATATATCGCACTCATCAACTCGCTCATCAACACACATGGGCCGGGACCAACGACTTTACTTCGCTTCTGAAGGAAGAGGTGACCATTGCATGCCTCAGAAAAATCCCACAGACCTCGCCTGGGGTTAAACCCAGACCCATTGAGGTGAGGATATATTTATAGTCTGGTGGATAGAATCTCGGGAATCAACTGTCCGATTGGCGAGGAAAGAACTATCAAAATTTTGTTTATAAAAGTTGGTAGTATATTTTCAATTGTTCATCTGCAATATATTGAATTGGTTCCACTTTTTTAAAGATCGAAATTCTATCCGCCAGACTATATATATAGCGACATATATTCATACTACAGAGTTGTGGGTTGTGTCATGTTACAAGGGTATTATAATAATTATCGACATGGAAAATATCATCAAGATAGATTTATAACATGTTATAACTGCTCAGTCTGACTAGCGTTTTATACTACGTTATAACTGTGTAGTCTGAACAAGGCATCAGAATCCACTGAGTGATTAAAATTCACATTGTGCTTCAAACAACATGTTTTCACAGTTTACATCGCAGCAGTCACTGCCTGGATAGAAGCTTTCAATTTAGAAAGTCGCGCCTTACTACATACAACTACTAACTACAACGATTAAAACTTACCCAACGATCCTGCCGTGAAGTCAATCAGACCCGTTTTGAACCCGCTGCCTTCGCCTTTTCCGTGCATTTTCGATCAGCTTATTGTTGTCAGACGTAATTTCCGAAATTATGTTCTCTACAAACCCCGAATCTTAGTTCTCAAGATCATGCGCCCACTAGAGTAAACAATACAGATTCTTCACCCTAATCAAACCGCGTTCCTTCTATTCACCGGGACTTGGAAGACGAATGATTTAGCACGATAATGACGACTCTGTTTGCTTATCAGCACAGTCCAGCACTATTCAGGAGTGCCTTCGCTCGTTACAGTTGCTGGCCACGCTGCTGCCTTTTTCTCAGTCAGACTTGAACCCGTCGTGCGTCCACCACACAACCGGGGCACTCGATTGCGTCAGCAGAATGTTGCTTTGCAAATTTGCGTCTTCTTATGCACGACACCGTCTAAGGCGTGTTCGACTCGTTCCTCTGCTGGGGGCTCGCACTAGGGACGATGTCTCTTCCTTATCACACAACCGTGTGATGTGGTGTGGTAGGTAGGTACCTGTTGATAAACAAGTTTTAACTCTTGCCCTCTCGGTTGGAAAAAAAGGTCTTCACTCCTTCAACTGTGCCGTGCGACTGAGCTGCTTCATCTAGGTATATGTGGGTAGAAACGATGATTTTTGCGCACTTGAACCAAACGCTTATCAGAGGTAGATTCGTCCAAAATATTTGTGCAAGTGATGTGCCTATCTCTTTCTCTATTGTAGACGCTGATAAGCTTCGGAAGACGGGATGTGCTTATCTTGTTCTCCGTGTGGACTCATAAACAATGATGGTTAGTCACTTGATTATGGCGTAGCGGGATGCTGGGACTGATTGGTTCAATGGCAGTGAGATTACACTTTTACTCCAACGAAGCTACCCACTCAGCAGGTTTCTTATCAGGACTTGTTTTTCCAGGTACCCACGACTTGTACTGTACCGACACCACGAGTACTACTGCTTTTTGCCATGCTTGTTATCGATGATTATGCAGCAAACTACTCGGCAAATTACAAGTGCAGTAGTGTGGAGTAGTATTTACCGGAGTGATTCGTCATTTGGACGTAATTGCTTTTGCAAATTGCTGATTATTGCAAATTTAAGCTCAATCTCGCAAACACACTATACCAAATGATAGAAAAATAATTCCTCTACCTGATTGTATTGTTAGTTTTCGAGATCGAACCTTTATTCGATAGCAATAGGCGATTGACGTGTTTGTTCACAAAAGCAATTACGCCCAAATCACGAATCACTTCGGATTATAGTCGCTATATTAATATAGCGACTATACTTCGGATTAGTAACGGCGCCGGTGGTGTAGTGGTAAGCGTGATTACCTCTCACCCCAGCAGGTCTGGGTTCAATCCCAGTCGGCGCCGCCGGGATGTTCTGAGGCATAACATCTCTGATCACGCCTTCCATCGGATGGGAAGTAAAGCCGTTGGTCCCCGGTTCATGAGTTGATGGGTCGATAGGTAGGGTCCAGGTGTGGGAGCTGCCTTCCTGGCACGTCGGTAGCATTGGTGCTCAGCACGGAAAACAAGATCGACGGAAAAAAAAAAAAAAACAAACCAAACTTCGGATTAGTGTGGGACCATGCTGTCACACACTAATTTATAACTAAATACATGTATCTATATATATTACGGCGTGTTGCTATGCAAGCACGTGGTCTTGTCTATGTGTTTGTGATGCTTTCAGCGCCTGTTGCTGCAGTGCTACTGTGCACAAGCCAGCAGAACAGGTCTGGCAATGTGAAACTTGCCGTCATTCTCATTATTCACTCGATTTTAAATGGAACTGAGCATAGAGATTGCTGACGTTTATCGTACGCAATACGTATATGCAAAATGTTTTCAGCGGGAAAAAAAAACTTCATAGCCAGGGTGGCCAGATTATTTTTTTCATTATCGGTAGCTTCTCAAAACTTGTATCGGTAGTTATCGGTAAGCCGTCTCAAGAAGGCTTTCCCGAAACTTGAAACCTATTGGTCCCAAGCAAATCGATTAACGTAACCCATTCTAGTCGAAATTTCAGCACTACACTGTGTTTGTTTTGATTCGGTATGAAAGTTTGACAGATAAAATGAGGGGTTCGTGGATTTTCCTATGTTTCGAGGGGTGAATCGATTAGCTTGGGACCGAAGATAGTACCACACAGCAAAAAAAAATGTAATATCGATCAACGTAATTCAAGCTGATGTATGAAATAATGATGTAATAGCAAAAAGCAGATACAATATTACATCAATGGATGTAATTTTGTTCGCAAAATCGATGTACATCGTACAATGTGATATTACACAACCGATGGATTGACCTGGTTGCAGCAGTTTCGATGTAATATTCAACAACTTTTTTTGCTGTGCAGAGCTGAGCAAAAAAGTTGAGCACGTTTCTTCGGGACCTACTAGTCTTAGAGTTACCTCTATGGTACAACGGTGCTGCTTTGTATGTCTGTCAATGGTATTAAACGTGCCGAAATCAATATTTCTAATTATGACTACACAGAAAACAAAACATTGGAAGTTATTGAACATTTGTCAAGATTACTAAAAATCTGTAATTCTCGGTAAGAAAAGTGAAAAATCGGTAGTTTTTAACCTTTCGTCTGTGAATCGGTAGGCATCCCGAAAATCGGTAGGACTACCGATAAATCGGTAGGTCTGGCCACCCTGTTCATAGCGGAAAATTTTCCCGATGAAAACAAATCACTGACACCATCATACTTTAGCAAACTCTATGGCGTCCCATTCGTTGTTGCATAAAAACAGGGGGAGAATGAAAGAGATGACTAATTCACATTGCCAGACCTGTTCTCCATGATATGGGTTCACAGGTTCACATGTCCCCTTCAGGAAAATCATTCGTTCTCCAAGCCAGGATCTCACGAATACTACACGCTATTTCAAAACTACCCAAATTTGGGTACAATTCACCAAGATCGGTCAAAACTAGAAATACTCAGAGGGAAAGATGGGCGGAGAGAATGTCTGAGCCAAATGAACTGTCATAATCTGAGCCAATCGAACATTCTAGAGTCGGTGTATAATGAGTCACGCCAAGAGAAAAACAGTTGAACTCGCAATACGGTTTTCGAAAGATTCCCTTTCTTTTCACTTGGCAACAGAGGACTTCTGCATCAACTTCAAATGACTTCTAGCGAGGAAAAAAAATAACGGCTGTAGTAAATCATTATATCAGTGATTTTGTAGAATTATCTTAAGGAAAAATAGTAGAAATTGTCATTACTGATCATTACAAAACGTATCGCATGACAAATGTAATGCTCACTGCGTGTATATTTAATAATTAATTGCAATTCCTTTCGTGGACCTTTCATAGCATCGTAATGCTTGTTTACTTTGCACGATAGGTAGCCGGTTTGACAGTTCAATAGGTAGACTTGGCTTCACTCTTGGCGTGACTCATTATACACCGACTCTAGAACATTCCAATTAACGAAAACGACATTAGAGCAACCATAACGGTACGCTGCTAAACTCATTTTAGCAGCCCTCATCATAGCGCAGCTACCGTATCGGGGGTTGCCATACGAGTAACTGAAATAGCAGTCGGCTTCTCGGTGAGAAACGCGTTACCAAATTTAGCAGCGCGGGATAAAGGTTGCTATTCGTAGAAATGTCAAAATGCTCACTACCGGTACACGGAACCAAAAAATTACCCAAAATTAAGTTCTTTTCACTCATCTCCCATGTTCCGTTCAATAAGCTAATTTTCAGTAAACCGTTTATAGTAGTTTACATTTGACTACGGCAAAAATAATTACTTACTCGTGAGTATTTTCTACCCAAAATTAAGTTTAATTGACTCTAATTTGAGAATATCACATATACTCACTACTAGCTTATTGAAAGATAGTCTTGAGAAAGTCGAATCTCTCGTTCCGTTTTTGATAACAACAAAAAGTGAGAGTGGGATGCAGAACTCAAAATTACCCAAATTTAAGTAAAAATAACTTAAATTTAAGGTATTTTTTTTCTCTGTGTACGGACTACGGCGAGTAATTTGATAACCGCGATAGCAGCGACCGGTGTGGAGAAGAGTGACTACACTAAAATGAGAGCGCTGTGCGCGAGGGGGGCGACACATCTAAATCTCAAGTTTAGATGCTCAACAAATCTCACACTAGCGAATCAATCTTCGAAAAATCTGCTTTCATTTGTCGCATCTACTTGCATCGCGCATCATCTTTTTGCAGGAAATCTTCAGAATCGTCATCAATCTTCTTTCTATCTACTCAGCGTGCGCGCAGCTAGCCACAGCAAAACACAATCTTTTCAGCATCGTAGATAGAGTCGTCCCCCTCGGCTGTGCGCTGTTGAAATAGTCGCGCAAATGACAACGACCGTTACGGTTGCTCTAAATTTGGTAACGCGTTTCTCACCGAGGGGGGCGACACATCTAAATCTCAAGTTTAGATACTCAACAAATCTCACACTAGCGAATCAATCTTCGAAAAATCTGCTTTCATTTGTCGCATCTACTTGCATCGCGCATCATCTTTTTGCAGGAAATCTTCAGAATCGTCATCAATCTTCTTTCTATCTACTCAGCGTGCGCGCAGCTAGCCACAGCAAAACACAATCTTTTCTGCATCGTAGATAGAGTTGTCCCCCTCGTTTCTCACTGAGAAGCCGACTGCTATTTTAGTTACTCGTATGGCAACCCCCGATATGGTAGCTGCGCTATGATGGAGGTTGCTAAAATGAGTTTAGCAGCGTACCGTTACGGTTGCTCTAATGTCGTTTTCGTTTTTGCGGTGTAGCACCGGTGTAGTGTAAAGCTTTAGGCTGTGTTCCATTTGGCGAATTTTCACTTAAACTTGACAGATGGAAAATTTCCAAATTAACCTGCTATTCCAGCAGACTTATATCTGACAGACAAGGAATCCATTTTGACACACACCTTCTCGAAAATTGGCCGATCAACAACAGAGGGATTTTCGAACATTATAATTTAGTTTCGAAGTGTCAAATTTAAGTGAAAATTCACCAAATGGACCACAGCCTTAGTAGGGATCCAGCCGAGGGGCGGTCAACTTCATAAATCAGCTCGGCGAATGAGAGCGACCCAAATTTGAGTTTAGTTCACTCATAATCACCACAAGTGCAGGAACTCAGCGATGAGTAAAATTTGTCTCATGGTTTCCTGTGGAAAACCTAAAAAATCTCAAAGTGTTTTTTTTTTTATGTTACTTCATACGCGAAGTTAACGATTTTCAGAGTTGGTTGGAAATGCTAACATGAAGCTAACAACCCCGTTCACATTACGCACTATATCACGTGATATAGAGCGATTCGTGATATAGCAGCTATATCACGTTCTATATTACGTGATATCCCATACAACGATCTGTCAACCTATATCACGAAGAGTGCTTGATATAGCTCATATCACGATCCATGCTTGTCAGAAATTGATTAAGTGACTGCTAGCAACACGGCCACGATAGAGCTGGTCGGCATTTTTTTCTTCAAAATGTCATCTTCAGAATTCTGACACCTTTCCTTGAGTTCGTTCAGTCTCGCGTTCCATTTTTGTTTTTAAATTTCGCGTTCCATTTTAGCTTTTTTTTATGTTACGAGTACATTTTCAATTGCTAAAAACATTTTAAATATTACAATGGAGGAGAAAAGAAAGCGCACGAAGAGCAAACGAAATCCTTGGACACCCGATCAAGTTGATCTGCTACTCGAAATGTGGGAAGTAAAGTTGCAAGATCTGCGTGGGGCTCGAAAAAATAATCATGTTTTCGAGGAAATGCGAGTTCTTTTTGAGCAGCATGGACACGCGGTTACAACGGATGAGATTAAAAACCGGGTGCACAACTTGACAGCCCGGTACAAGTAAGTCTATATCTGGTATATAATTGAATATTTATGTATTCTAGTGTATTCTTCCTATTGCA